TTCCCCTGTTACCTCAACCCTTTGGTACTAAAAGGGTTCCCCTTGTACAAAATAGGGCTCGGCTTGTTCCTTACTTCTCAATAAGTTCCACCAACAATTTTCTACAACATATAAGTGATCCACATCACTTATCATGACAAATAGTATTAATGAAGACTATAACTTATACCACACAACTTAGGTCAATGAGTCATAATCCACCCTAATGGTCCATATATTAAACCAACCATTCACATAGTATCACTTAACCACCAAAACCATTTATTAGCCATCACTAGGCTAATTTTCAATTTATATAATTTTTTTAATCAATTAAAAACCTTTACTTAGTGCCACCAACTTTCACCATTAGCCCTTATAATGAAAACCAAACCTTAATTTAAATCTTATTGGGCTCAAATAGCAAAATTATAACTAAATCAATAGGCTTAAACCATTGAGGAGCAAAAACCCAATTTCTCAAGGTTTATTTTGTGCCCAAAACACCTCTTTTCATCCAATTATTCACTCAAAACATTAGATCACTATATAGAAACTCAAAACATGCTCCCTAGAATCCAAAGAAACAAAAGCTTACAAGAATAAAGCCTTTGGGATCAAAATCCAAAAATTTCCTCTTCCAAAAATTGAAGAAAATCAAGAGAAAGAGAAGAGGATTGAAGTAGGGAGTTTACCTATCGTGTAGCCGAGCTCGCAACGGTCGCAAAGACTCCTAGATCCAAGCCTAACTCCCTCCCTTTCTCTTCTCTTCTTCCTCTCTCTCTCTCTCCCGTTTGTGCGTTTGCTTCCTTTCTCATTTTCTCTGCGTTTCTGCATCAGTTTGCTCCTTAAAATGCTGGTCAAAAACTTTGGGGAAAATTACAAGAAAGGGCCCAACATTTTTTATTATTGCACAAAAGCCCGGGTCAACTTTGGTAATTTTTCCCATAGTTAAAAATCAAATAAAACCAAACTTTTGCTTAGTAAAATTCGAACTCTGGGCCTCTATTAAATTATTCTAAATTTTAATTTAATTATAGATATTTTATTTTATTTTTTTATTTTTTTAAATAAATTTGAGTCTTAAAATTTTTAGGATGTTACA